CTCCAGTCTGGGCGACCGAGTGAGACTCCAACTCAAAAAAAAAAAAAAAAAGAGATGAGTGCCCACATACGTTGCTAAGTACAGAGCCCAGGCTGGAATGAGTAGTCTGACACCACATCTGTAATCTTTGTCCCAAGCCATGGGGACACTCTGAAGTAAAAGTTCTTTTCTTTTTTTGAGTAGGAGAGGAGTCTCACTCTGGCAATTCTCTCACCTCTGCCAGCTATCAAAGTTCTTTAACTTCCATCCAACCTTTCATCTTTGAGAGGGCTGAAACTCGCTGACCAGTGTTTAGGAGCCAGTGGTAGACAGGAAATGGAAACCTCTTTCTGCCCTGACCTCCCTTTCCAGGCTTGCTTCCCAAACCACTTTGTGCATTTTACCCTCTTTTTATCTGGCAGCTGTGTGCACTGTGATCTCTACTGTATACAATTTCTCCCCCGTCTGCCATGTTTGCTAATATCATTTCCTTTGTCTAGGGCACTTTTTAACTCTGTGATCCTCAAGAGTTTTCCATTTTTTATGACTCAGCCAAATATCACCTCCTCTAGGAAGCCTTTCCTTCCTTCCAAACTCAAGCCAAACAAAAGCTTCCCTCCTTTAGATACCCTTATCACTTGGTCTTTGAATTCTCATTACCACTTCCTACCTCCTATAACTCCTCCTACTACTGCATATTTGAATGTTGGTGTTCTCCAGCATTGCTGTCATCTCTCATTGCCCACACTCTCTGCCGACAGTCTCCTTCACATCCCAGCACTTACCACTTCTGTTGTTCATTGGTGCTTCCCATATCTCTTCTCTAGCCCAACCTTCTTACTGGGTCTCCAGAGATATTTACCTGCCTGCTTCCTGGATTTCTTCCCTCTGTCCCACTGTCATCTCAAACTCAATGTGTCTTAGACAGAGCTTAGTTTTCTTTCCCTAAAACATGCTTCTAGACCGGACATATTGACTCACGCCTATAATCCCAGCACTTTGGGAGACTGAGGCAGGAGTTTGTGATCAGCTTGGGCAACTTAGTGAGACTGTCTCTACAAAAATAAAAATTTTAAAAAAAGTGTGAGTGGTGGTGAACGCCTGTAGGCTCAGCTACTCAGGAGGTGGAGGCTGGAGGATTGCTTGAACCCAGGAATTTGAGGCCACAATGAGCTATGATTGGGCCACTGCACTACAGCCTGGGTGACAGAGCAAGAAACACATACACGCACATACCACTCTCCTCTCCTGTGTTCCCTATACTAATGAATGGCAGCATCTTTATCTACCTAGACAGACATCATTCCAAACAGAAAATAAGTCTTTACAATTCCATGCCCCCAACCCAGGTCATCATGTAGTTGATGACTCAGCCTTCTAAATCTCTCAAGGCAGCATACTTTCTTCTGTCCCTGCTATTGTTCCCTTAATTCTGCCCTTATTACCTCTGACTAAGATCTTAGCAGTAGCCCATTAACTGCTGCCAGCCTTGGCTTCCTTTATGCCTTCCTGCCTGCTACCAGAAGAATTCTGATCATTGCTGACCATGTCACTCCCTTGCTTCACATCCTTCAAGGGTCCTGTTGCTTGTAACCTGGCCACCTGGGCTGTTGGTTGGAGCTCTTGACTTGCCTTTTTCACCTTGTTTCCTACCCCTCCTATGTACTTATACCCTGTTCACCACCCACACTTGAAACTATTTTCCTCTGAGCACACCATGCCTATTCTTGCCTCTTGTGGCTAAGCAGCCCTCCCTGTCCTTGGGAGGGATTGGGAATGTCTTTGGAGCCTAATAGATTTGGGATTAAATCCCAGATCTGCCCCTTACCAACTCTGTGATCATAGTCCAGTCACCTAACTCTTCTGAACTTAGTTTCTTTGCTGAGAACAGAGTACCTGTCTGTTGAATTGTCATGAAGTTAACATACGATGAACGTTCTAGTGCTGTGCGTCAGAGTTCTTTTTCCTTTTTCACTGCTTCCCAGATTTGGCCAACTTTATCTTCATCCAACCATATGTCTCCAGCCTGGCGCACCTCTATGGATTGTGTCTCTTTTTCTCATAGTGTTTGATATTGTGACATCTATCTTCCTGCTCAACTGGAAGCAACCCATGGGCCCGAATCAGGAGTTCTATTCTGTTCTAAGTCAGCTGTTGATTATTTATATATATATCCTCTCCTCTCCTAAACTAGCTGAAAGCTTCTTCGTTTTTTTGGTTTTTTTGTTTTTTGAGTTGGAGTCTCACTCTGTCGCCCAGACTGGAGTGCAGTGGTTGCTCCCCGCCACCGCAGCTTCAACCAGCTGGGCTTCGGCGATGCTTCCACTTCAGCCTTCCAAGTAGCTGGAACTACAGGCGTGCACTACCACGCCTGACTAATTTTTTATTTATTGTAGAGATGAGGTCTCACCAAGTTGCCCAGGCGTGTCTCAAACCCTCAGGCTCAGGCAATTCACTCACCTCAGCCTCCCAAAGCACAGGATTACAGGCTGAGCCACTAAGCCCGGCCAGCTGAAAGCTTCTTGAAGATAGAGTTTTTAAAATTTGACTTGTACCTCTTAGCAGCTAGTTGAATGCTCGATATCCCCAAATATTCAGTGAATGAGGAAATTAACAAAGTACTCATCTCACACATAGCAAGGTAATGGTGAGGAGCACATATAGAAACGGCAGAAGACATCAGAATTTTCTTACTTGAGTTGGTGGACATGCATAAAGCAGTTCTCTGATTCATAGATTTGTTGGTAGCAAACTTCTGCCTATCAGTTTTATTGATGACTTGTTTTTCTTCATTTCTTTTCTCTAAGTTACCCCAAGTAGTACAACACTGTCCTCTTGTATACTAATTTTAGCCAATTAAAAAATATCATGTCCTCGGAGAAGCTTACAGTTGGGAAAAAACAACAAATAAATCATATCTATAACTATTATTTATAATTGACTCTTCTGAATTTTCCTGTTGGGAGAAGCTAAACAGATTTATTTTCTAGAGTCTTATCAGATTGGATCTATAATTTTCTGCAGCAAATATACTTTTTTCATTTTGAGTCTATTCCACACAGGCTAAATTTAAAACCACAATTGGCAGCCTATTATGCTTAGTATCATAAGTAATTTTAACAGTTTCTTAACTGAGAACATATTAAGCATTTATATTTATGGAGAAAATGGGGTTTAATCTCTTTAGTTGAGAAGTGAAAGGTATATAAAAGGAGTGAAGGAAAAGGTCCGACTAGACCCTTCTAGGCAGGATCTATATGTAGAATAACTGTGCTATGTTTTCCTCTCCATTCTGTGATCATTTTCTTTCTTTTTTTTTTTCCCCAAGTTAGATTCTCACTCTGTCGCCCAGACTGGAGTGGCACGCGCCCAGCCACCACAGCCTCGACCTGCTGGGCTCCAGCGATCCTTCTGCCTCAGCTTTCCAAGTAGCCAGAACTACAGGGACGCGCTACCACGTCCGGCTAATTTTTGATTTATTGTAGCGACAAGGTCTCGCCAAGTTGCCCAGGTGGGTCTCGAACCCACACGCTCAGGCAGTCCACTCCCCTTGGCCTCCCAAAGTGCTAGGATTATAGGCTAAGCCACCAAGCCCAGCCCTGTGATCGCTTTCAAAGTCCCTTTCACCCCTGGGAGCTACTGCTTTTGGACCCACAGGAGCAGCTGTTCTGAAAGTTCTTTTCATCTTCTCCCTTGTCCTCTTCCTCCCTCCCGAGGTCTTGCCTCACTGTGAGGAGGACTTCTCCCTGGTTCCTTGACAGGCCACTGAGAACTTTGTTTCTGCCTCCTGTTCTCTCCTCCATATACCTGCCTTTTCGCCACTGATATGTCCCTGGGGCCACACTGTAGAAGCCCAGCTCTAGGGAGGACATTGAGCTGTGGTTGCTTGATTTGCAACTGGAAGAACTGTGTTCCTTTTCATCTCAGTTAAAACTTACAGCTCAGAAGGTGGCTTCTTATGGAAATCCTTTGCAGAGGGTGGTTGGTTCTATCCTATAATAGTGTGAATATAATTAGTTAAATACGTTTTGTTGGTTGATCTGGGAATCTAGCCATTCTTTATTAAATGGATTAAATAGCACTTATTTTGTGATAATTTGATCTCTCTCCCTCTTTTTCTTAAAATATCATTAGGCCAGGCGTGGTGGCTCATACCTATAATCCCAGCTCTTGGAGGCCAAGGTGAAAGGATTGCCTGAGCTCACTGGTTCCAGACCAGCCTGGGCAACTTGACTAGATCTCATCGCTACAATAAATCAGAAATATAGCTGGGTGTGGTGGTGCATGTCTGTAGTTCCAGCTTTCTGGAAGGCTGAGGCAGAAGGATCACCTGAGGCCAGCAGGTCGAGGCTGCAGTGGCTGTGAGTGTTGCCATTGCATACCAGCCTGGGTGACAGAGTGAGACTCCAACTCAAAATATATATATATCATTGGGGGAAAGTGCACATAACCCACATGTAACTTATAACCCGTTACGTCTGCATAGTTCACAATTAAGTTATAAACTAATTAGGTAGGCTCTATGAAAAGCATCATTTGCAGCTGTACAGGAGGCTGAGGCAGGGGGAATCCCTTAAACCCAGGAATTTGAGATCAGCCTGAGCAGCATCATGAGACCTCATCTCAACAATTAAAAAAAATCAGTGTTTGGACTGATGTCAGCTAAATTTCTCAATTCCAAATACCATATAACAGGTTTTTTCCTTCTACCAGGCTGATTTTAACACCAGCTTTACTGAGGTGAATGGGCATACACCGATAAACTATGAAGACTTTGTGAACTTTTCTGATATGTACCACTCTAATGAAGAGTATTTCAAGAAACTAGAGGAGCTGAAGGCTGCCCACATAGAAACTATGGCAAAATTAGAGAAAATGTACCAAGATAAATTAAACTTAAAGGAAGTTGAGCCAGTGATCATCAGGGAAGATGGTCTTAGTGTCTCTTCTGGGTAAGTTTGTACACAATCTTGTAAAATAGAGCATATGCTTAAAATTACAGAACAAAATTATTTCAGAATATTTTTTCTTAAATGTCTCTTTGCACTATTAATGATATACAAAGGTGGGATTTCGTCTAAAATATTTAATGACTTACCAGCTTAGTAGATGACCTTTTACTTTGAGGATTATTTGGTGGCTATTTGGTCTTTTCGGTCTGATTTACCACTTGTTGGACTGAAGGCATGTATCAAAATACTCAATCAAACTATTTTAGATGCTGAATTTTAAGGTTTAATTTTAAAAGCCCTTTATGATATGTGAATTAACACGAGCTCACTAAGGATCTAATATGAGGAGTTCAGGGCTAGGAGACATGAATCTGATTTCCATTTTCAGAATAGTCTATAATTTTAAGACCCATTGCTGCTTTGAACTCATTTATTTTGTTTTGTTTTGAGTTGGAGTCTCACTCTTTTGCCCAGGCTGGAGTGCAGTGGCAGTGCTCACAGCTACCACAGCCTCGACTTGCTGGCCTCAGGTGATCCTTCTGCCTCAGCCTCCAAGTAGCTGGAACTGCAGGCATGCGCCACCACACCTGGCTAATTTTTTGATTTATTGTAGAGATGAGGTCTTTCACCAAGTTGCCTGGGCTGGTCTCAAACCCCTGGGCTCAGACAGTCCTCTCACCTCTGCCTCCCAAAGTGCTGGAATTTCAGACGTGAGCCACCATGCCCAGCTCATTTAACAGAGGTTAGACACAAGAAACTTCTGCTGTCCCAGGTTCCTCCCCTGTGAAACGAAAGAGTCAAACTAGACCATTTATAGGCATCTCCTAGCTCTATTCTAAATAACAATGATCACTTTACAAGCTCTGATCTTAGAAAACATAGAACTCTAAATTTTTATATTTGGTCACATACAATTGAAAATGTAACCAAATTATTCTTCTCATTTAGATCTATATCAGAAAAGAACTCGTATCATCCTGTTTCATTAATGGCATCACTTTCAGAACCTGAGTTAGGCCGGTCTTCCTCCTTGTATACGTCTTCCTCTGAGGAGGAGCTACCCAACTTAGAAAAAGAGTATCCTAGGAGAAACAGAATGATGACCTATGCTAAGGAGCTCATCAACAACATGTGGACAAACTTTTGTGTGGAAGATTATATTCAATGTAAAGATACTGACTTCCAACCAGTTGAAAAAACAAGGAAGAAACCAAAAGAGTGGGTGCCCATGATTACAGTACCCGAACCTTTTCAAATGATGATTAGAGAACAGAGGAAAAAAGAGGAGTCCATGAAATCCAGATCAGATCTTGAAATGGTACAAAAACTGCTCAAAAAACAAGAAGAAGATTCAGAGTGTAAGAAGAAATTCCGAGCCAACCCAGTTCCTGCATTTGTCTTTCTCCCCCTTTATCAGGATTTAGTCAAGCAAAAGGAAGAACAGAGGAGGTCACTGAAGGAGAAAAACAAAGAAGCTCTTTTGGCCTCACAAAAGCCATTTAAGTTTATTGCAAGGGAGGAACAGAAGCAAGCAGCCCGGGAAAAGCAGCTGAGAGACTTTTTTAAGTCTAAAAAGAAATCAAATCGATTTAAAGCCAGACCCATACCTCGATCTGTTTATGGTTCACCTACCAATGACAAGCTGAAAGAAGAAGAACTCTATAGAAAAGTTAGGACACAGCTGAGGGCCCAAGAGCGTTTACAGAATTCGTCCCCTCTGCCCTGTAGGCCAGCTTGCAGACGCAGAAACCCCAAGTTTCCTGAACAGACTATAAAGTCGAAGCGTAAACACAAGGTTGGATCCCAGACTCCTGATTTTGAAGACCTTCCTGAGAGAGAGCAGAAACACCTCTCAGAACACAAGTGTCCAAAACTCTTAACAGTCTGTAAACCATTTGATTTTCGTGCATCTTCACGTGCAGCTACTAAAAGAGAAAAAATTTTGGCAGACATTGAAGCAGATGAAGAAAATTTAAAGGAAACACGGTGGCCTTATTTGTCTCCAAGGCGTAAGTCACCAGTAAAAAGTGCAAATGCAAAGCCTGTTTGTAACTGCAACCCTCCAGTGGCCACAGTATCTTCCAGAGCACGAGAACAAGCCATAAGGTAAAAATAGCTAGGATTCAGTACTGACTCACTTCTGGTTGCCAAACTGATGGATGTTTGCAGCTGTGTTAATTTTATGTTGGTGAACTTGAAAATACTAAGAAATTGTTATTGTATCTATAAGATATTTTACTATATAATATAGAATATTTTGCTAGAGGGTGTTCTTCTAAGAAGTGAACGTATTTTTCATTTGATAAATTTTTGTAGATAGAAAATGTTAGTCTTAATTAGATTTCTAGTTGTATAAGTCAGGTCCTTCCCAAAAGGTTACCTTTTTTCAAACTTTGAATTATCCCCTATTAAATCTTTGAAACAGCTTTCTCAATGGCTTAAAGTGAATTAAGCCTTAGTTTGTTACCCTCAGGAGATCACTTGAGGAAAAGAAAATGTTGGAAGAAGAGAGAAATCGGATCCTAACTAAGCAGAAGCGAAGAATGAAAGAATTGCAGAAACTACTGACAAGCCGGGCTAAGGCTTATGACTCACATCAAAGTTTAGCTCAAATATCTAAATCCAGAGTAAAATATCTCAGGTATCATGAAAGAATTCTGAACCTCCAGATCACTGGTTTTCAAACTTTCTTTTTTTTTTTTTAATTAGTGGATACCAAAATATGAGTAGATTGAGAATGATATTAGTATTTTTATTTATGGATTTAAATTACTATTGGTTACTTATATTCAGAACACACATACTCACTCATGGTGAGAACCAACGTACATACTCACCTTCTCAGAACTGTGAAGCTGTGTTGATGAACAGAAACATTTTGTATTGTGGCCATAATTAACAACTGTAATCTTATACCAGCATCTGATCTTTTTCTTTATTTTATTTTTGAATGTACAATGAATACAGTATTGAGAAGAATCTTGATTGGCACAAATAAAACTCTTTTTTAACAGCTTGCCATGCAATCTCAGAGTGTTTTTCAATAAAAACAGATACGTCAAAGAGCTTTGTGCCAAGGTATCCATGAAATCTAATAGCACAAATTAACACATTGAAGTTAATTTACATCAGTTATATAGTGTGTTAATTACACGTGTGTTAATGTTTAGTAGTATGTGTTGCATTAGAGTTTCAATATAGAAATAAAAATATTTGCAGAATCCCTAGAGCCTCTTCACAGAACACTAGAATTTTGCAGTATAAAGTTTGAAAACCAGTGTTCCAGATGTTGCACATAAAAATGTCAGTGTTGAAGTAGAAACATATCTCCCCCAAAGCCAGGTAAGTAATATGATTTATTAACTTTTAATTGATTTGTAAGAACCAACATATATATTTGATTTTAATTACAGTAAGTATTCTTTAATAATGTAGCATTAACCCATTGATAGAGGGAGCTTAATATGATGAGCTTCAGCAACATATTTCTTGGAAATATGCTACTTACCTTTATTAAGTATACTAGCTTTTTCATAACACCACATTGTGTATAATTAAGTATCATGATCATTTTAAAGTATAATTATTTTCTCTAATCCATGAAATCTTATTATCTTGGTAACATTGATATATCTGATATAGAAAAAAATAGCATAATTTAATACTTATGGGAAATGTATGTATTTTGGTTCCTGTTCTTCATTATATTTCCATGCCCCTCATTTTTCCCCTGACTGTTCCCATTGAATGAGCTTTGCTACTAACCTTAGATCTCATTTAGGGGAAGAAATAAGAGCAGGTCTTGTTTTCAGAAGAAATTCCTTCCAGAAAAGACATGTAATTTGTTCCAAATTTTTCTTGGTTTTATACACTTGTAAATGAGATAAGAGGGTATTCATTCATCTCTTCCTGACAGTTTGAAGACCCTTATGTATTATACCTTAAGGATATCAGAAGTCAAAGTACCCAGACTATTACCAGAGCATAGCATGTATGTTCTCAGAACCTAGGATTCTCATTCTAAATTCCATGAGAATTTACCAGACTAGAAAAGGAATGGAGGTAAACTGTGAACTGTGCTCATAATTTCTGACTTGTCAGCTAAGTGAAATGCTGTTTCTTTTTTCTTTATTGACGTTGTACAAGTTGATAAGCTAAGTGTTATATGTAGAACTTCTTATTTCTTAGATCATCTCTTAAAACTCCATTCCTTTTATTTAATTTTAGAAAAAGTGAAAAGGAAAGAATGAGAGAATACCGACGAGAACTAGAAGAAAGAGAAGAAAAATTAAAACAGAGGCCACTACTATTTGAAAGAGTTGCTCAGGTTGTGTTTATTGGAATTTAAGGCTATTGTCAGCTTTATTCCCCACATCTTTTGCTCCTAAATTTCCAGTTCATTTTTATGTGCTATATAACTATTGAGATATGTTGTTGTTGTCTGTGTTGGCTTCATCGAATCAGCCAACAAATAATTTTGCTTAAATCTGAGCGTTTAGCCGGGCATGGTGGCACATGCCTGTAGTCCTAGCTACTCGGGAGGCTGAGGCGGGAGGATTGCTTGATCCCGGGTGTTGGAGTCTACCTGGGCAACATAGTGAGACCCCGTCACAAAAGAAAAGAAAAGAAAAACTGAGCATTGAATCTTGTTGATGAGGCACATAAGCTTTTAAAAAGCATTCTGCCAATCCTATAGTTCTCAGAATAGTTTCACAAGCTGTTTTTTAATGGCTGGTCTTTTTTCAGTACAAACTTAGTCAAGTATTAAGGTGAGGCTTCATGATATCATTTGGAGGTCTTTGAAGAATTAAAAAAAGTGAAACAAAATGGCTAACTGAATCAGAGTCATTTCTGCCACTTTTGTTTTGTTTTTAGTCTATAGTTCAATCTTCTCTGCAATTGCTAAAAGAACTTCCTTTCTACAGGAAAAAGAAACTGGTCTTATGGACAGTAGGCCCTGATTTTACTAAATTTCCCCTCAGTTTTACAATCTTTCCCTTAAAGGAGATTTGTCAATTTCAGGCCATCTTCTCCTTTGTCTCTTATGGGAGGGGTTTGTATGGGTGACATGGCTTAACAATTGACAAGAGCACTGAAGTTGCTATGTTGTGAATTTCAAGCTGTTATAACTGGCTAGTCGACAGTTAGAGCACTTACCTGTGACAGCTGATCATAGTTACAGGACTACTCGTCAGTGACTCACTGAGGACAGTAGACAAGTATTGTGGGTAAAACTGTACAGTACAGTCTCTCAAAGTTTTTCTCACTGATTTGAATGTAATTTCATATAATGGAGTTTGTTGTAAGGGATGGATTTTTTTTTTTTTTTGAGTTGGAGTTTCACTCTGTCACCCAGACTGGAGTGCAGTGGCTG